GACACTCCACCAGCCGTTACCTATAATGTGTGTGGTCAAAGGGGGCTGCTGTCTGACTGTTTACAGGATGCAAAGGTGGAAATTGAGCTGGAAGCCATCTTAACAATGGCTTAGGCCGGGAGTGGCCTGTGATCCAGCAGGGGAAATTGTTCCTCCCATGGCCATTTCCAAGTGTTCTTCACATGAGCCCCTCAGCGTTAAACTCATGACTCATTTGGGAATTTGAGAAGTGCTTCTGTTTATGGTCTCTTCCTGCGGAGCAGTGGTTCTCCACCTTCCCAATGCAGCAGCTCTTTAATGCAGTCCCTCAAGCTGTGCTGACCCCAGCAATAAAGTTATTTTGTTGCTACTCCATGACTGTAATTTTTCTACTGTTGAGAATCGTAATGCAAATATCTGATATGTGACCCCTGGAGGGGTCGTGGCCCAGGGTCGAGAAGCACTGCTCTAGAGATCTGCGTTCCCATATCTGATAGGAGATTGCAGACTCGGGCTTGGTGTTTCACCCTATGCGAACTTTTTTCCATGACTGTCTTGGTCTCTGTGGCGTTCAGTTCTAACGTGTTTAGCGCTTGTTATTCTCTGTAGCCTTTTGTCTGTGTGTTGTCTCTTATCCTGTCTGAGGTGGTTACTTTTGACTGTCAACCTGAACAGTCTAGAATCACCTGGAATCATCTAGAATGTAGAGTCTAGGAGGAGGAATCTCTCTGTAGGCGATTGTCTTGATAAGTTCACGGATGTGGAGAGACCCGGCTCACTACAGGCAGCACCATTCTTTGGGCTTGGGTCCTGGTGGGATAAGAACAGAGAAAGTGAGCTCAGCACTGATACACATGCCTGCATTCTCTCTGTGCTCTTGACTGGATGCCACCAGCTGCTTCAGGTTCCTGAGCTGGCTTCCTGAAGTGACTGACTGTGCTTTAAAACAGTGCGTTCAGATGAAGGTTGTGCCCCCTGTTTACTTTTCATCAGAGCACTTTATCCTAGCACCTGGACAGAAAACTAAGGTATTCTTCTGCCCACACTCCCTGATTGCTTATCTTCTGTAGGTGTTCTCTTCCAGCTCTCAGATTAGGTTTAGAGGTACAGCCTGGGGAAAGAGCAGCAAGAGAAGGACAGAGTGACTCCTATGGAGGCTCATGCAGGCTCAGGAAGGGCAGGAGATGAATGGTGAGCTTCTCCCGAATATGGAACAGCTAACTAGTTTATACTGACATGCTAAGAAGACTATGATATAATACTTGATCCCTGCATACTTAATTATTCTTCATGCTTTAAAAAAGGACTTTTGCTCACCTTCACAATGCCATTATTAACTATCAAGATGAATAAAATCCTGATACCCACAGCTCTGCCAGGTCAGTGCCCATTCCCATTCCCCAAATGTCCTTTATCATTACATTGTTGATAGAACTTGAGCAGTTTAACTTACTGTGTGCTTAGGGTTTCTAAATACCAGGCTGTTTCCCTCTTTTTGTGTCCCTTAAGACTTCCTGCCTCTCACACTGAAGCTGTCTCCTCGAGAGATTGTACATAGGTGCATGGTGAGCAGACCTTTGGAGCTGTGGATGGAAATGGGCTCCCGGAGTGTAATTCCCTTGCTTTACTCCTGTGGTGGCCCTTTCTTAGAACAAGGAGGAGGAGCACGGCCTTGGCTGTTGATTCCCATGACACTTCTCCAAAGTTTTTTTATGAGATGCTTGTCTTGGTGGGAAGAATAACAAAAAACCTGTAGTTTACCATACTTTCTCTTTTCCTGAGCAGTGGAATTGTGTTTGCTTTGGCTCTGTTTACAACTTGATTTTACATTTACCATAAGGTACATTGTTTTGCTATGTCTTAAACAATCATCAGTCATTGCCCTAAGCTGCTTACTTGAATTTTTAGGTACAAGACATGGGTACAGAGTTTAAGACCAGGAATTATTCCCTGTCTGTCTTTCCTTCTCAACCTTCCTAGTCCATCTCACATTAAACAGTGACACTGACTTATAGAAAGACTGTGGCAGTTTGACCTTTTGCATTTGTCTACAAGTGTGAGTCATGAATTCTGTGATGCCGTACAGTGCAAATAATGTCACTATGAAGAATCTTAAGTAAGTTGAAAATTAATTAACTTCTGGAAAGTCATGAAATTTGACAGATTGCAAGAATTTTCATAATAAAACTTTTTAAGGATAACCTTCAAAAAAGTGTGAGTGTATGTGTGTGTGTATGGGTGAGTGCTTGTGTGTATGTGTGAGCATAAGTGTATGTATGTGTGGGTGTGCGCATGTGTGTGTGCATGTCCACCTGAGAGTCACAGTGCACATATGGAAGTCATAGGACTCCTGTCTCAGGGGCACTTTCTCACCTCCCACCTTGTTTTTGGGCAGGGCCTGTCTTCTGCTGGTGCCTGACATGCACGGCCAATGCTGCTGACCTATCTCCTGTCCCATCTTTACATCTTGTTGGCGTTTGCATACATGCCAGGGCATGTAGCTTTTAGATGTGACTTCTCAGGTTTGTACCAGGCTTCAGGCTTGTGCATATCCCTGCTCAGCCTTCTCTGCAACTCCTAATGAGGTTTTGAGAGAGGAAATGCAGAGGGAGTATGTGCTTACTGAAAGAATGGGATAGTTCTACAGTCAGCACAGCAGTGTCCTTCCTAACAGCATCCTTCTGGGTTTTTGACTCGTTACTATTTTATCACATACTGAGGAAAGCTATTTCCCACTGGCACATTTTAAGAAAACACTAGGTAGTATCTTACTGCTGAGACTTAGATAATTCATAAAAATAAGGACCTATGGTGCCCTACAAAACCTAAGCTCTCCAGGTGAGTAATCCTTCATATCTTCAGCCATGTCAAGTCCACATCGTCCGCATTCCCCAGACATCCCTATGTGCCATCATTAGGGCTTGATATGGTTCTGCTTATTATGTGTACAGAGTTTAACCCTCAGAATTGTTCCCTGTCTCTTTCCCTTCAATCTTCCTAGTCCCTCTCACATCACACTTATAAAAAGACTGTGGCAGTTTGACCTTTTGCATTTGTCCATGAGTGTGAGTCATGAATTCTGTGACGTCACACAGTGCAAATAATGTCTATTTGAAAATCTTAAGGAAGTTGAAAATGTCCTAAGAAGGCAATATGAGCTTTTCACTTTGGAGTTTTTGGTGAAAGCAGTGTGTGTGTGTGTGTGTGTGTATGTGTGTGTGTGTGTGTGTCGTTCTGTGAGTGTGATAACTCACAAGCCTAGAACCTGTGCCTTCCTAAGGAACAAACCTTATCTGTTCTCAACATGGGCATCATGACAAGTCTGACCCGAGCCTCTTTCTCCTCTCTTGGGAGGAGAAGCCTCCTTATTCTCCATGGTGCCCACATTATTGCCCTTCGGGAGAATGACATAAGAGAACCTTTTCTTGCTGGAACAGGCTCGTTCACCCAAGGACAGCAACTATGGTCCTTCTTGGAGGTAACAATGGTCAATGGTGTTTCAGCCTAGATCTAAGGAGCTCAGGAAGATAACTGGCATAGCAGTGGAGCTGGTCGCTGACCATCCCATTTTGTTCCTGGATGAACCCATCACTGGCTTGGGCTGGAGAACGGCGACTGATGTCATCTCAGTTCTGAGAAGGTAAGAGCTAAAGGGACGTCATGTTTCTATTTACTTCATACCTGGTCACGTGTGTGTGTGGTTCAGGAGACTCAGAAGTAAGCTACAGAATTCATCCTTGTTTATCAGTGGGGAACTATAGTTAACAAAGAAGAGGCGTCAAGAACAGTGAGACAGGTGGTGAAGGCTTTAAGTAACATGTCTCTGACACGCTCAATATGTGACAAGTGACCTGTGGCCGAGACAGAGAGATTCGGACAGAGAGGTGGCCAGAGGGAAACTGCATTTACTCTGAGGAAAATCATGTTTGCTGTGTTTGGAACATTATAGGGACAGGGTGGACTAGAGCCTGGTGGCCTGAGGAGAAGGAAGGTGTCAGGAACACCTGCAGACACCAGAGCCTGGGTGATTTGACAGAAGTTATGTTTCTTACAGTTCTGGATCCTGGAAGCCAGATATTAGGGTTTCCACAAGCTGTGTCTGTTGAGGCCTGTCCACTGAGCTTGGGTGATGCCTCCTCCCTCTCCATGTGTCTGTGTCCCGATCTCTTATGACATCACTTAGCTTAGGACACAGTTGTGGTGTCATTTAAGTGTGATTACCTTTTAAAGACTCTCTCCAGTCCTGGCTACATTCTCAGTTCTTCGATATGAGGTCCTCCAAGCCCTCCACGTTCACAACTGAAGTGTGTGTACAGGGTTACATGGAGAGTCCTAGGTCCCTCAGGCCACTGTGAGTAACAAGATGGGCATGCAGGAGGTTAGCTGTAGAGGAGAGCAGTCATGGTGGAGGTGCGCAGGGCACCCTGGGGATGAGAAGATGTGGGCAGCAGGCTGAGATGAGGGGATGCTTCAGCTGGGAGAAGGCGGGAGGCGCATGGGCTTCCTGGACAATGAACAGCATTAGCTCAGGGATTAGCCCTGGATGTGGTGCTGAGGGAATGGTTTCTGAGGTGTGGCTCCTGAACCCTGAGAAGAATGAAGGAAGGGAAGTGGCATCTCCTTCCCTTAAGAAAGAAGGCTGCAGCTGAAGTATTTGTAGAGAAAAGGTTTAATCATCAAGTTTTATACATTTTAAAAATTATTAAGAGTTTCAGACTGACTGAATATCCCTAAGAACCGCATAAGCCTAGGCTCCTGCTGTTGGCCTTTGCTGTGCTGTCTTTCCTTCCTGCCCCATGTTCTCTGTTCTGACATCAGGGTCCATCACCCTAAATAGTCCTGCCTGTAGCTCCAGGAACCAAGAGGCTCCCAGTGGACCTTCCCAGTGAGGAGGTCAGCAAGGGGGGCCTGCTACCTCCCTGTCAGGGGTCACCACTTCCTGTCTGTCCCCTTCCTGTCTGCTTCAGGATACTCTACCATGTAGTTCTGTCAGTTTCCAGTGTGGAGCGCTTCTCTCTGCCCTGCTTCTCGTGCCATTGCTAGTCTTAGTGCATGGGGTCATGCTATGCCTGATTTACCCCGGTGTTCTGGGAGCAGACTCAGGCCCTGACATGCTGTGTTCCTCTTGGTCTCCTACACAGCTGGAAGTGTATAGGAATATTTTTAAAAATTCATGGTAGGAACATTTTTAAAAAGTTTTCACATTGATTGATTGATTGTGTGTGTGTGTGGGTATGTGTGTGTGCACATATTTCTGTCCACATGTGTATAGCATGCATGTACAGGTCAGAGGACAGCTTAGGGAGTTGGTTTCTCCTTCTACCCGAGTGGGTTCTGGGGACTGAACTCTAGTCTTCACACTTGGCAGCAAGCATCTTTACCCACTGAGCCATCCTGCTTGCCTACATGAATCTTGACCATCTTATCATGCTGGTGATTGCTGGATTCTATGATATAAAATTACAATTTCTTATTTTGGTATTTATTGATCGTCTGTCAGGGAGAACAGTCATCTATTAAGCCCTTATTCTGCTCCTCATCTTGTGTCTACCATCTAGCTTCTGTGTGAGCTTGTAAGACCTGGGGTCTCACAGCTCAGGAGTTCAAGATCGCACCCTTCCCAGAAACTCCCCTAGACCAAGACTCGTTGCAAAAGCAAGAGGTTTATTAACCATTGTGCAATGGGGTCACCCCTGCCGGTCAGCAGGGTTTTTAAAAGACAAATTGCAGGAGATTTGCAGTCTTGGCAATTTAGGATTGGATGAGGGAGCTATAAAGTAAGATAATTGGTTAGTCTTAGGTGCTCAAGCTTGGCCAGTCCTGCCAAGTGTGGATGCAGCTGCAATTTAAGGTGGGGGTGGTTAGCTCATCCTTGAAGATTAGGGGCTACAGACTTTTGGCTGGAGGTCAGGAGCTACACAGAAGAAGTCTGGGTTGGTTGCTAAGAAATGCTATCTCAAAGACAAGGGTCTGGTCCTTCTTTTGCTGAGTGAAGGTCATTGCTTGCTTGCCTTTTTTTCTATCTGTCCTCATAGATAGGGTCACATTTTTCCATTCTCTGGAAAGGTACTAAGAGGCTTTACCTTAACCTGAACCTAAAACTCAAAACTATATGCTTTAGAAGACATACAGGTTACAAAGTTAGTCTAACCCTTTCAAGCTGGTAACTTCTGCTCTTGTTTTAATTACTTCCTAAGCAGATGTGGCATTCTGTGTGGTTTCTCTCCTTAGCTCTCATTTTGCACAATGGGCTGTAACATGCGATTCCTCATTTTTCCAAGTAATAAATCAATCCTGTAGCTATTTGAAGGCTCTTCTCTGTGAGGGATTTTTATGTTTTTATCTTTTTTTATAAGAATTTTACACAATATATTTCTGTCCTATTCATTCCTTTAGGTAGGATAAATAGTTTTCAAATAAAAGATTTAAAGAAAATTTTGACTAGGGCTGGAGAGATGGGTGAGCAGTTCAGAGCACTGGCTGCTCTTCCAGAGGACTCAGGTTCAATTCCCAGCACCCACATGGAGGCTCACAGCATCTCTTCAACCATTCCAGGGAATATAATTCATACTTGTCACCTCCAAGTACACAGGAACACATGTAATGCTCAGACATACATTCAGGCAAAACACCCAAACACATAAAGTACAACAAATAAGTATAGTTTAAAATTCATTTTTAAGATAAAATTTTACTTTCCTTTAAAAAACATCACCTTCTTTGTCTCTATTGTGAGGACGGCCAGGGTTGCGAAGCACAGCTGTGAGAGGAGGTCCTGATGCCACTCAGGGCCAGTCCTGGGCCTTGCTTTGAGGAAGGCTCTAACCCCCTCTGCTCTGCCTCCATCTGCCTAATGTTCTGGCTTTCCCTGCTGCACTTTGTCCTTCTGGTGGTCTCTTTGATCAACTTAATTGCTCACCAGCTGTTTCTCTTTCTCCTCCTACTTCTCTTTTTATTACTTCTGTCTCCCCTGTCTCCTCTTCACCCTGATCCTCCCTTTCTCGAGCATATACAGGGGTGCTCCATCACCTGTCGCAGTGAGCTCCACTAGCTTCTGGAGTGACAGTTGTACTTCCTGCTGTGTGCAGCTGTTCTCTTCTTAGACGGTGGTGCTCTGTGTTACCTTCCCATGGGATGTGAATCTCTTTTGCTTACAGGAAATCCTGGTCTAATTCTGAGCCACCTGTGTTGCTGTTCCTCTGTGGCCTGGTTGTCTCTGAGGCAGTCTTCCTCTAGACAGACAGCTACCTCACAGCATCTGCTTAGGAGAGGCTTTTCTTCAAGTTTTGTGGATTAAATATTTTGCTGTGGAGACAGGCTGGGCTAATTTTCTTTCTAAATGCTGGAATTTAAGTTACACACTGCCAATCACAGATCTTTTAGTCTCTTTTTTTGCTTTTCCTCCTTTCCTTCTTCCCTCTCTTCTTCCTTCCTTTGAAGAGGAAGCTCCCTTCTTGTACTTCTTCCTTCCTTCCTTCCTTCCTTCCTTCCTTCCTTCCTTCCTTCCTTCCTTCCTTCCTT